CAAATATATATTTTACAATATCGCAGGGAGGAAGAGTTTTCTCTCTTTCCGGTATATGGAGTCCACTCGAGGTAACATTTAAAAATATGTATATACTACATGCTTTATTAGATTAAACAATTTATCTTACAACCCTAAAAGACTTTTTTTGTTTCCAATGTTTCTGTGGGCTGCTTTTTTAGGGGGGGAGCATTATAGACTTATTTTTTTAGAGCAGTTTTACATTCGTGGCAAAACTGAGTGGAAGGTACCCCTACTCCTCCTACCCCCACACATGACAGACTCCCACTCTGTCAACATCCCTCCCCAGAGAGGTGCATTTGTTATAACCTACATTTGTTAGGAACCTACTGGCACCTCATTATCACCCAAAGTCACAGCTTACACCAGGGTTCACTCTTAGTGGGGAACATTCTACGGGTTTTGACAAATGTATAATGACGTAGTATTATACAGAATCCTTTCACTGCCCTAGAACTCCTGTGTGCCCAGCCTGTTCATCCCTCCCTCCCCTGTAGCCACAATGCTGCCTTTCTCATTCTTCTCCACATTTACAATTTCTAGTGTCCCCCTAGGTCTGCCTTAGTGTCTGAGCCGCACTCCCAACCCCGCCCCACCCTGCAGATGGGCCTGGTTCATGCAAATATGTGAACAACCAATAGCCCTGAAAATGTGGCTTAGGCACTGTAATTTTGAAAAGGGGGGCTAGTTGACCCCCTTTCCATCTCTTGGATAGGTGGACTCCCAGGGAGTACCAGAAAGTGCTAAGAGGGCCACCACCCACCACACACATCTCCCCAAGGGTGTCTTCTGTTTGTCCTCTCTTTCTTCCTTTCCTTCAGAGTATATACATTATTTCAAAATTACAAAACTTGTTTTCTCAAAATGGTTCTCCTGGCAGCAATGCCTTGACCAGAATGTATGTGGGTGGTGAGTGGGGCAGGGGTATCTGTAATTTAGAGCTTGCATATGTATCAGTTAGAACCTCAGAGAGAGACATTTCAGTTCTCACTTTGCAGGTGTCTACCAAGAGGCTGATTTCATCTTTTTTGTGGTCACAGTATTAGCTTTATCTCGTGGAAAAAAAAAATCCTCTCAGCCTTTCTAGGATATCGAATAAACACTCCCAATACTATCTAAAAAGTGGATGTAAAATAACTTTTTGTAACAAAACAAATCATCTGATAACATAGCAAAAGGATTAGCAAGAGACTTTGCTGAAATTGCAACTGTTTCTCCTCCCTGCGGTCCCATCTTTGCAGAGATAGATATTACGGTTGCTAAGGAAACAGGACCAGAGAGAGAGAGAGAGAGAGAGAGAGAGAGAGAAAGAGAAAGAGAGAGAAACTTTGTCTCATTTGGTTTCCCCAGGACTCTCAAAGCAAGCTGGGCTGTAAGCAGAGCTGGACGAGATTATGGTAGATTTATAATTTACTTAGTCAAATTGCTTTTAATTCAGTCATGCCTCAATGTACACTTTTTTCCTCTGAAAGTTAGGTCTTCCACCTAGTTGTCCAATGTCTAACAAATAACAGAGCTTTAAAATTCATTGTCGATGATTAAATTCAAATGCAGGACAGATGGCTGAGTCTGAGTATGTGTCAGACAGGCAAAGCACTTAAGATTTGTGACAGGCAAGACCAGGAATTAACTGCTAAGTTTTTGCATTTATTCATACATTCATGTGCACCCTGAACATGGCTGTAAACTTATTTAAGTGTTCTCACTTTATTCAAAATATTCCCAAACAAACCAACTGTTCTCCTTTTGGCAAACCAGATGCCCTAATCTCAACCCCATTAACTCAAAATCCATTTTTCTCATGCTATATGTATGGTGTACATTTCATTTACTCAGACATTCAGGATGACAACAACCACCTTTTGAAAACCCAGCTTGGTCCCCACTTCATTTTTGCGAACCTTTTTATTGAAACATTTAATTATTTTTTTGAACAAACATTTGTCTGTGGAAGTAAATAATGACCAACCAAACAAGAACAAGCGAAGGCTATTTATTCAGAGCTTGCTATATAGCAAGGGAGTCAGCCACTTTCTTGCATTTTCGCAGAGATTCCGAGAAAGACAGGGAAGAAGGAAAGCTTTATTGTGGGGAAAGAAGGGAAGGCTTCCAATCTGATGGTTGGAGGCTGTTGGCTAAGCGTGGTGTCCTGTGGTGATGGGGTAGGGGTACAATCCTACCCTAAGTAGGTCCTGAGTTAGAAACAAGGACAAAATTAGGTAAGCAGTTAATCAAGTTATTATTCATCAAGTCCCAGCCATCTGGGACTAATTGTTCCAGGGGTTAGTATTTGACTTTCTGGACCAGTTCCTAGAGATAGTGGTCTGACTCCCTCCAAGCCTGACTCACAACAGCAGGCTGGCTTCCTGGGCTGATTTCTATAGGTAATGTGTCGGTTTCCTGGGCTGGTTGCTGTAGACTATGGTCAGAGCTCCATTTTTATATATGGTCTGGCTATGATCCATTTGTATATTCAGTCAGTCAATCAACATTTTACAAACAGAGAAGTACAAAAAGTGTCAGCGTACAGCTCAATGAATTTAAGTGTAACAACCAGCCAGGGAACCCCATTTATTTTAAAATTCTCTACAATGTTATCTTCAGAAACTAGTTGGCAAGGAACATTTTGAGTCTCCACGTAGACTCCTTCCTTTGGCTTCTTCTGTGCTCATGTCCAGGTCAGGGCTCACTGGCTGCAGGTTCCTCGGACCCTCTCACAAACACGGTGGACCCAGGCAGCCCTGGGCTTCCCACAGTCAGGAGCCCCAGGAATCACCTTCCTCCACATTCCTGGACCTGGAGGAGCAGCCAGAGTGTGCCTTGAAATCCAGTTCCACCATTCCCTTGGGCAAGTTATATAATTTCTCAAAACCTGTTTCTTCATCTATGAAATGGGAGTAATAATAGTGCCTGCTCCCAGAGGGTTGCTGTGAGGATGAGCAAGGCGAGAAACATGCAAATGCTTAACCCAATCCCTGGCACAGAATAAGCACTCAGACTTACATTCATTTGTGTGTTGCTCCCAATGGTGTTTTAAAATGCCAACTGAAAATTACTGAGGACCTACTATGTACCAGGCACTGAGCTTCACACTTCTTCTTAAATTTCTTATCGTATTACATTTTTCTACTAGAAAAAATATGTCTTGTTGATTTTACAGATGAAGGAACGAAGGGTCAGCGATGTTAAGAAGCCTAGACTTTGCTAAATTTGTGAAGATTAAATGAGATAACTGTAACGCAGGTCCTTAGCCTAATCCTCAGCTCATCATAGTCACCCAATAAATGAGGCTATTGTTTACAATGGCTCTTTGATTATTCCCCATACTAGATAAACCCATGTACTGCAATGGATAATCTATGTAGTTGCCCATCCAGTGTGTTTTTTCTTTTTTTCCCTCACTAACAAAATCGCATTACTAAGTGGGGTGGCAACATGCTTCCCTTTTGGCCTCTCTTAAAGCTTGGAAAGTTCACGTGACCTAGTTCTGGCCACTGAGAGATAAGTGCAAGTCTCCCAGGTGAGTCTTTTGGGTAAACTATTACTATTCCAAGAAAAAGGGAGTGTCCTCTGGCATGTGCCCTTTCCCGTGTCTGCCTCCAGCTTTGCAGCCTGGTAAGCAGATGTGATGCCATGCAGTACAGCAGCCATTCTGCAAGCTTGAGGACTAAGGCCCAAGAGCAGGATGGCAGAGCAGAAACAGAACAGCCCCAGACCACTGACGGCCTTGTAGTGGGGCTGTCCCAGCCCTGGACTGCCAATCTCCTAATAGTTTCCCTGCCGTGGCCAGATTTTTATTACATGCAGCCAAAGGTAATCCAAATTGACACAGCCACTGTTTGGGGTGATGCGAATGAAATGAAATTTCCAAATGAATGAAAATTAAGAATTTGAAGTATCTTTTAAGTCTATCTACTAGTCCCAACTGAGATGATAAAAACTCCAGAGAATGAAAGTTCTGTTCACAATCATGTCTACAGGAATCATTCTCAATCCTTCTAGGGATTAACATCAAGACTTTTCTGAGAGTCCAAATCCCCCATCCGTCGACTCCTCATTGCTAAACCTTCCCTTCTTTCATCATTTGGTGTCATACATACGATGTCATCAACAGGGTTTCCACGGATCCTCAGCTCTGTGCACTTGGAATCTGAGCACTGACACTTGTTCCCAAAGGCTTGGCTCTAGACCAGCCTCACGCAGCACGGAACCAAAGGATCTTTCTGTTAAACCCAAGGCATCTGCTCTGGCATCTTGGTCAAAGTCCAAAGGCTATAATTGCATTATGCCTACTTGTGAGCTCTCCTAGAGTTCCAATTAGGTAGTATTTATTTTCCATCCAGAAAAGATTATGGCCAACATTGCTCTGCACACTAAAACAATGAGGGGTCTGACCCAAGTGATAAAAGGAGCATCTCAGTGTGACATGAAGCCATCCTGAGGTGGGGACAGGAGGCTTCATTTGGCCTCATGCAGGGCCAGGAAGGACAGCTGTCGACTTAGAAGCCAAGCTTACCAACTTGTGCTTTTCTGTACCAACAGAGAAATAATATGCACATATTTCCACTTACTTTAAAAGATTTCTAAAGCAGATGTCAGCAGATGAAAAGAGGATTGAACTCCAGCCCCTTCTCTAACAGCTTTCTATCAAAATACAACCCATATAAGGATTTCAAAACTAAATTCATTCTAATATAGAATACACTATCTTAATATCATGTTATTTGACTTTTTATATCCCAAGCTATGAATAAATCCATAGATGAGGTGTTTCGCTTTACTTAACGAGATGCTAAAGGTCAAACGTTTTATTTAATGTGCAAAATTACTTTAATAAATGTATGTGACTAAATGGTGAAATAAAGCACATTCAGAAAATATTTGAAACGATCCTCCTTTGATTAAACAAGACAAGGCACAAGTTTACAGTGCCGCCCAAAATTACATAGTAGTCAAATAAAGACGAGACCCACACACACAATGAAGAGAAAATCTCTAATAATTTATTGACCTTCAGTTTCACATTGTGAAAAAAAAAATAACAGTTTTACAAAACCTCAAAAATGTAGTAGTAGCAAACAAGTACACATGAACATGAACATTTTACTTCAACTTATACAGTTTTGTACGTGAACCACATATTTAACAGCCAAGAGAGGGATATTATGCAGCTCTAATCACTCTTATTCAGACAGGTGTCAAGCCCAGAGAAAAGGGGCTACACAATTATACCAGAAGTGGAAGGCTGCCCTTTGTTGTCTGTTTCTACAGCAACCAGTCCACAAAATAAGAAGAACCTTCCCTGTCTTATGCCAAGGTTTTTGTGTGTACTGTGCTGTGAATTGCATTTGCTTCAAAGTGTGGGACGTTTCACAGGGTGAGAATGGTCAAGTAGTGAGACCAAATGCCTGCATCAATTCAAAGGACAGGAGTCCAGAAAGTTCCCTGCAGGCTGGGGGCCCACCCTTACTGAGGCTCCCTCTGGCTCACACAAAGTAATTAATAGAGGATTCAAGGACAGACCACAACTTTGAAACAGCTGCAGAAAATTCATCCTGCTTTCAGAAGCCATGCAGTGACACATACATCTCTTGGCAGATTTGCATCATAAACTACAGAGCTGTAACTGCTACAATATAACCACATCGACTATGCCGCCAGGGTACGATTAGACATTTGCATTGCTTAGAACACATTTAGGAACCAGGGACTGACTGCTGGAAAGTATTGTGATTCTTTTCTTCCAACAGCTCATTTTATTTTGGTCCAACTATAGCGCACTTATTCATGGCACGGATGGACAAGTACAATTAGTCTAAAGTACTAAGGTGGAGAGAAATGTTAAGGATTTATCTGTCATTAGACAATGCAAACAAACTCACGATGTGAAAGGTTATCAGTCTTAACCCTATTTTCTAAAATACAGCAATGTGAGAAATATCCACGAAAGCAGTTCGAGTTGCAAACTCTGGTCTTCCCCCACACCTCTGAGGAAGCACCTAATTGAGACTAGCACTAACACCTACCACGGCACATGCTTAGTAAACAAGCACTCCAACTAGCAAAGAATGTATTCACAACTGATTCCGAATTCCACCGGAAAACTTCTCAACAGGGGCCACTGCTTACAGTTCTTTGGTGTTTTGTGGCCAAATGTGTCACTTGTGCACCAAAGAGTTATTTATTTTTTAAGAGATTTACCTAAGGGTGAGCACTGAAGCATACATTGTACCAATGTGAATATTGTCTTGGAGAACTTCTAGCACTTGCTAAATTGTTTAGCAAGAACAGACAACAATGAGTCCAGGTCAAGAAAATCTGATCAGTGAGTTAATTTATATCTGTGATGTTTCAGTTTTTCCCATTAGCTGTGGTTATGGCAAAGCATTCTTATAGGGTAATAAATAGATAAATAAATAAACTTTGGACAATGCCTTCACCTGTGCTCTATATACAGAACTATTCCATAGAATTTTCCAGGATTTCAGGATATTACACAAAGGAAAAAAAAATGTAAAGCAATTTGGTCCTTTCCAAATTTCAGCAGCTGAGACTGAATTAGGTGAATCAGATGGGAGGTGGGAGAAAGACAGAAAGAAGCCTCCCCTCACCCCAACAGCATGCCCTTACCCCATGAAACCCCATGAAAAGATGGTGAGTCTAAGATTAAAAGCGATCTCCACAGTTTCTCTATCTGTAGGATGCAATTTAAGTTTGTCTTGTAATCCTTCCCTGTCTCGACATTGAAAAAGTCCTCCCTGCGCCCCAACCCACCCTCCAGTTATACTCCAAATTGTAGCTCAAAAGTTTCCATTTTTGTGCAGCAAAGCACATCACCAGCCACAAAATGTGCAAAACATACAACCATTCACACACGTCCATACATGTGAAGACAACTGTAAGCACTGTTTCAGCATGCAGGCATCCAACAATAAATAGCTAAATCTACAACAAATTTTTTAACAGCCAAGGGAAAAGTTTAAAGTCACTTATAAATAGAAAAGACATCTACCAAACGGCTACCAACAAGTCCCCATTGTTCAGAAATCTTCCTAGGGAACACACCCCTTAGAGATGAGCAGAGAGTCCAGGGGTCCTCATTCTGCAGCCAGCCCAGCCAGCTTCCCTCCTGGACCCACGGTTGGGCTTTGAATCTCCAGCAGCAGCTGGCATGGAGACTTCAAGCTCACTCCTCAGACAGAGGTGACAACCATTTCAAATGTTACACATAAATGGCGGAGCCCATGGAAATCAAATGCTCAATATGGTACAGCAAGGGAAAAGGTCCAGCTCTTCTCTCCCTTTGAGAGGCTGATTCACACTGACATTAATCCACAATTACAAGACAAGGACTAGATCACAGGTTCACGCATTCATATTCAAACCATGTGCTACTTGCACGGAATATCCCACCCCCCTCCCTCAGCCCCTTCCTTCATGTCCAGTTAGAGAATTTACAAGGTGCAGCGAGTTTTGCAGCAACTTCTTTTCCTTTTTTTCTTTCTCTTCATTAAACTTGGCCTTTCCAAGGTAGAAACGTCATATTGTCTTGTCAAGTGATGGAGTGACCTAAAATAGAAGGAAAAGAAAAAAACAAAACAAAGAAGCATGAAGGATTTGTGTGATACCATAGTTTTAAGATTTTTGTAAGTAACCACAAAATTTTTTTTTTATTAAACTTGGGACAGAGCTGGGCAATATCGCTTCTAAAGGTCTTAATTACATGTTCGGTAGGAACTGTGCAAAGATATTTAAAGTATTTGTCTTAAAAGTACACATGGTGCTTTTAAGGTGCATGCATGCATCAGTGCAGATGGCTGGCCTGACAAAAACTGTGGTGTCCAAAGAAGGACCTTCACTTCTTTCCTAAACATATATATGTTCAAATTCAAAACTATGTGACTAGAGGCCGGGCGCGGTGGCTCATGCCTGTAATCCTAGCACTCTGGGAGGCCGAGGCGGGTGGATTGCTCAAGATCAGGAGTTCGAGACCAGCCTGAGCAAGAGCGAGACCCCATCTCTACTAAAAAATAGAAAGAAATGATCTGGACAACTAAAAATATACATAGAAAAAATTAGCCGAGCATGGTGGCGCATGCCTGTAGTCCCAGCTACTTGGGAGGCTGAGGCAGTAGGATGGCTTGAGCCCAGGAGTTTGAGGTTGCTATGAGCGAGGCTGATGCCACGGCACTCTAGCCAGGGCAACATAGTGAGACTCTGTCTCAAAAAAAAAAAAAAAAACTATATGACTAGGTGCTATGAGTTGCCATCTTCTGCTTCCAACATTTATAAAATTCCTTTCTGTGGTTAAACAGAGCCACTGTAAAGTACTAGGGGTAAAAGAAGGAGATTCCTGTGCAAACCCTCTTTGGCCCATGTACCATAGAAGATTCCAGACTAAATCTATTCACCATATAGAAGGCAGACATATGAATCCTCTTATTGAAATGCATCTTTGCTATTCATCATGGCAGAAATCAGTCTCGCTTCCTTTCACATGACAACATATCCAACAGCCCAAGGCTGGAGTTTATTCTCAAAGTTCATTTAGTCCACACTTAGAAGACAACAGCTATGGCATGCCAGTGAATGTAAATTCAAAGTACCATAGCCACGAAACCTGCAAACTTCATAGAAACTGGTATTTCTTGCATTACTCACCTTTCCCATTTATTTACTGCTGATTTCATACGGGGAAATTTTGCAGAGTTCTGTATTCCTATTGCTATAACTCTTAAGTATAGGCAAAGGGAATTCTGGAGGGACCACTCATTACTTGCAACGAATTCTTCTCCCTTTCCTTTTATGTGTTCAGAAGTCTGATTCATTTCATTAGTTGTTTCTTTTGGCTGTTTCACAACAGTGGTTCAAGCTTTCAAGGCATTCCTTAGACGACAGTATTCATCCCCCACCCCCACCTCCTGGTTACCTACATATCAACATTAGGCCAAAAGAATGTATCTTGTCATAATATAAAGTTTCCAGATATTGCATACTCAAACAAGAAAAACAAAGAACACATACCACAGGAAAAAAAAAACAGAAGAAACAAAGCAAATCGAAGTCCAAGTGCCCTCAGTGCCACACAGCACCATGAAAATAGAGGATAATCAAAGTAATTTCCTTCTTGTGCCTCCCACCCACTGACAAGAGCAGCAGGAGACAGTTAAAATTTCCTTGGTGGATGAGCTCTTAGATCTAGGGAAACTTTTTGTTAACACTGCATTCATTTGGAGAGCAGAGGACTGAGGCCTGCCCAGCCCCTCTTTAAGGCACCTCAACCAGCTCAAATGTTTTAGCACTATCTTGTGTGCAGTAAACTTTAGAAATTTAAACCAACAGTCTCCCTGTCAGAGACTGGAAGAGTGGCTTTGATCATGCTTACGCTTACGATGCCCTTTAAAAGCAGCAAACCTGGCCTTGTCAAATTTAGTTTTTATGTGCTTGACTCCCCGGCTGGTAGCACCAAGGGTGAAGAGGATGTTGTTTCACATATAAACTAACACTTTACTAGCTCGGTTTCCCAGGGACCAGAAGAGTGTGATTCCGTTCAAATACCCAGGATAGGGTGAATTCAAGTGTTTGCCACTCACTCTGGGCTGAAAAAGGTGGAACTGAAAATGAAGTATAAAGATGACAAGCAGATAATAGTCAAAGAAACCTGATTTGCTACCACACACAAAGCTGACTCCACTGCTATTATCTCAGAGCAAGTTAGGATCTAAATTAAAGGGAGGAAAGAAAACTAAGAGTATTGAACATTTAATACAGGCCAAGAACTGGGCGAGGTATTTTCACCTCTTCCCCGCCCCCCCCCATTTATCAATTTATCCTAGTATAAACTGTGACAGAGCTTACAATTATAGCTCAAACCACTCATTTGACAGAGAAGCAATCTTCCGTCCAGAAAGCTCTAGAACTTAACCTAGGACCAGAACACACATGTGGTCTCTCTCCTCTTTCTGCCTCAATTTCCTTACCTTGCTCCAGGGCTGCTGGCAAGTCTATTCATTATCATTTTGATGTATCACCACTGAGTTGGCAATTTTTATGGCTCTTCTGTGCAAATATAGTCAATTCTGGACTAACACCCAACTAAGTGTGCTGTTAATTAATGCTTTTGCCTAGGAGGTTCTTTAAACCTGCTTTAGAGGTGAGTCATGCAGTCATATTGCAAATGAAATAACCACTTTCAGAGCATTTGTTTATTCAGGATTACTGAGAGGCCAGCAAGGCTGCAAAAACCAGTTTGGTGTGAGATGCTATTCGCCCAGTCGCTTCCCAGAGGAGGTATCTGACGGTTCCTGCTCCTTTGAAGGAATTTCATTCCAAGGAAGCGTGACATTGCTAACAACTCTGCTAACCGTAACAGGCTGGAGGAGATAACTGAAGAAGTGAAAGAAAGAGAAGAAATGTGAAAGTGAGGCCAATTTTAATGATGCTCTTAAATAAGGGGTAAGAGATGGAGAAAGAAAAGACAAATGAGATGAAAGCCCTCTTTGCTTAGCTTCAACTACCCCTCGATTTCCTTTTCTCCTTTGAAGCCCCCTTCAAATGTGTGAAACTTACTAGGGAAAACAGAGCCAAACGTTGCCAAGTAATGAGTTAGTTTTCACTGCAGTTCCTCCAAAGCAGTTATTTTCTTCTCTTATTATTGGTAATAAGCCCATGAATCACCAAAACAAATCAACACGTTCCCTGTGCTCTGTGCTTAAGCCATTCCTGAGGCTGATGCTACGAACGCTTAACAGCAACAAAGTGGCCATGAGCACTGCAAACCCTGAACTGCATAGACCTATTAATTATTTGAGCCAAGAGTATTATATACTCTTAAGTACACAGACAACCATTATGCACTCATATATAAATGACACAGAAACACAACCTCTGTTAGCCCTGACAATAGGGTCAGCTAGACTGATGACTAACTCTGAAAAGCTGAGGGCAGTTTAGGTGGCTTGATATATCTGTACATCAAATTTATACAATATAGCTTACACCCTTTTACAAGGACAGATCTAAATTCCCCTTGAAAGTTAATAAATGCCCTAAAGGGGGTTATTTTTGTGGGGGGAAAAAACATTTTAAATAAGCTAATGAGTACTTTTGGAGAGAATAAACAATGAATGAATTGGAGCAATGGATTCTTTAAACTCTATTCATTCCAGAAAGGGTTTAAGAAGGCAAAAATTTAATTATCAACAAAGTGTCACCTGAGATGATACCAACATGAAGCTCAGTTTTATCAAGTAGCAGTTCAGTGTGCCGCTTGAGTGCTTATACTCTGCAGCCACACTGCCTGAGCTGACTTCTTGACCAACTCTACCATGTACTAAGCTCTTCAACCTTGGGCAACTTACCTAGCTTCTGTCTGTATCAGCTTTTTTCAGTAACATTTTTTTTTTTTTTTAAGAGACAGGGTCTTGCTCTGTCACCTAAGCTGGAGTGCAGTGGTGCAATCGTAACTCATTGTAACCTCAAACTCCCAAGGTTCAAGCCATCCTGCCTTAGCCCCCTGAGTAGCTAGGACTACAGGTGTGCACCACTGCCCCCTGGCTAATTTTTTAGATTTTTTGTAGAGACAGGGTCTCACTATGTTGCCCAGGCTGGTCTCAAACTCCTTGCCTCAAGCGCTCCTCCCACCTTGGCCTCAAAGTGCTGGGATTACAGACGTGAGCCACCGTGCCCAGCCAGGTTCTTTCATCTATAGAATGAAGCTAGTAATAATATCCCATGGGGCTGTTGTGAAGATCAAATGAGCTGATCCATGTAAAACACACAGCACCGCTCCAGGCACACAGTGAGGGCTCCATAAACACTAGCTGGTATTATTAACAGAGGGGGTGGGGGGGGGCTCAACCTAGTTGTTTATTGCAATTGGAAAACTTTCTAAAAATACTGGCCCCACCCAGACCAAATGAAACAAAGTCTCTGGGATGGTCAGGTTTTGAAAAGCTCTTCAGGAGATTCTGAGGCTCTCTTCTGAGATTCTGAAGAAGTAAAAGCTGGAACCACTGGCTTATGCGATGGGGAGCTGCAGCTGTGGTCATCGCAAGCATGTAGATTTGGGGAGCCAAGTCTCTTACATTTACAGCTTTTGTATTGCTTCTACAACACAGGCCCTACGCACTGTGCCTCACTCCATACACTGAACTTCTGCGACTAGCCTAATTATACGCATACTTACATCCACAGCTAAACTCACTTCTTACCTCATGCTCACTTTCTTTAGGACCGACTACATTTAAGAAGGCAGATGTTTCCAGGTGCTGACGAATGCAGTGGGGATCAGCGAGTACGGGACTGTGGTTATGCTGTTCCACACGTCTAATGTTGGATCGTAGCAGTCTAAAGTCTTGCATCGCTGAATGCCAAAGTATCCTCCCACCACGTAGAGTTTGTTTCCGGAGGCCACAGCGTGGCAGCTCATGCGCTTTGCCGTCACGTCTCCCACCTTGGTCCACTGGTAAGTTTCACTATTGAATTTGTAAGCAGAGCAGGCGGAGAACTCTGTATCTCCCCCCATAATAAAAATCTGGTTGCCCAGCACAGCTGCTGCTGTGTAACGCCAGGGCTGGGGACAGGTGGCTGGTACCGTCCACCTGTTTTCACACTGATCATAACACTGAACCTTGGGGAGCTTGTCATGACTGACGCTGGTACCTCCGAAAGCAAACAACTTGAGTTTGGCACTCACTACTGCAGCGTTGCTAACGCCTTCTCGGAGTGGGGCCACCATGGTCCATTTGTTGGTTGTGGGGTCATAATGTTCTACCTGCTTTAGAGAGACAGAGGGGGAGGCCGGGAGGCAGCCAGTTGCAGCTGTGTGCCCCCCAACCACATACAGGCAGTGTTTCAGTTCGGCAGAGCCATGGCCAAACCTAGCCACCAGCATGGGGGCAGCTTTGGACCACTCCTCATGCAGGGTATCATAAACCCAGACATCTTTTGAGACCCCATTTTCAGACCCTCGCCCCCCAGTAATGTACACTTTGCAGCCAATTGCACATGCACTGAACTCTTTTCTTGGGCTGGGAATGTCGGCCTTGGGAATGATTTCTTTGGCCTTCTGGTCTACCAGATACAGCTTGTCACACATGAAAGTCTGTCCACCCAGGAGGAAGAGGGCATGGCCGGTTTTCCTAGGCCGGGCGCAGAGGCTGGTCACCACACCGTCATTCTGCAGGATTTTCAGTTTGCACCTGATGGCTTCTTCCACGATTTCCTTACTCTTTCTCTGCTTGGTGATGAGCTCCTCCATGGCCACATTCTCCATGAGATAGATGGCTGGCAGGAGCGCCAGCCTCACCGTCTGCAACAGTTCTGGGAGGTAGCAATAGCGCTTCTTCAGGTCGTAGCTGATCCAGTTAATTGCAGACTCGTACACAAGCCTTTCATCTTCTGTCTCCAGCTCTTCGCTGGACAAGAGCTGCACTACCATGTCCTGGGGCAGCTGGAGGAAATCTTCATTCTTCCTGATGGTCTGGAAGTTGCTGAGACACATTCTCCAGGAGAGTTCATACAGCTTGGTGCACTGATGCGCGTCGGACAGCAGCAGCATGCCCAGGCAGTTGGTGGGATGCAGGTTCTTTTCCAGGAACTCTGCACATGCATCCCGGATGTCTTGAAACTCCAGCATGTCCCCAGCTTCCAGGAGCGACTCTGCATTTTCTTCGTTGATGATGACCCGTGAGGAGTATGCATAGTCAAGAAGTAGCTCCAAGACTTCTGGGTGGATGGAATTGTCGAAGTTGACTTCGCTGTCCTGGCTCTCTTTCAGGCCGCCACTGAACATGGCCTCAAAGTAGCGGCTGCAGGCAGCCAGCACTGCCCGGTGGCAAGGGAAGGTCCTATTTCCGGCATGGAGAAGGACATCGGTGAAGAGACGCTGCTGGCGTAAAAGGTTCAAGTGAGTGAGGACGCTGTCGGCATAGGAGGACTTGTGAAACAGATAGATGTTGATGGAGCCGCTGCTGGCCCTGGACTTGCGGTTCTCGTGCACGCTGACTGACATTTTGTTTCCACTCCTAAAAACAAAACAAAACAAAACTATTGAAGGTGATGCTCCTGATGTTCAGAACAGCAGATCAAAATCAACAAGAGCTTTGGAGGAAGACAACAGAGCACTTTGTTGTTGGCCCTGCTGCCTACTGTTCTGAATGGTGGGTGGCCATTCTAGTACAAAGGCAGCGACACAACTACCTGGAAGGAAAGACATTCATTGTAATACTGTTGAGCTATTTGAACTATACACTGTTAAAAAAAAAAAAAGAAGAAGAAGAAGAAGAAAAGAAAAAAAAAAATCACTGCTTAAAAGCAGGTTCATCTTGGAAAACCTGATTACCAACTTTCAGGACATTGAAGGCCTTGAGAACGTACTAAGCCAGCAAAGTCTCATTCTCACAGCTCCCTGTGCTCTAGTCCAGCTGATTCACTGCAGGCCACTTAAAATGCCAGGCCTCCTGCTCTCGTAATGCCAGGATGGGCACTGGCTTTCATGCCCCATGCAACATAAAGCCATGTGTAAAACAAACACCTACTAATTAATTCCATTAAGAATTCCTTTGGTAAGATCCAATCTCCCTGCACATACAGTAAATGGGAAATGTAAGGCCAACTTCTGCAATGATCAGACCTTTATTTAAATGTTACAGATAATTTCTAACCAGATACCCCTATCATTAAAGAGTTCTAAAAGCATCTCAATATAAACATTGCCATGTATTGATCAGCACAGAATGGATTCTGGCCACAATCACCAACCATCTTTCTTGCTCTGGACAGCTTCCAAAGTGAGGATTTGGCACATGAAAGGAAGAATATTTTGAGTAGCATACTCAAGACTGCTGTTTTTCTGTTCTTCCTGCTTTACACCAATTCTTGGAAAACCAGTTGCAAGAACAAAGGATCTATCCCACCTCTCCCTTTTGATTAAATAGTGCATCACCAGGACAGTTCCTATGTACCTGCAAATGCTGGCACCTGCATGTAGGGAATTCAAATTGCAAACATTGCTTCATTTAAATAAAAAAATACACATGTATGTGTGTGTGTTTTGCCAGCCACTGTTAACTTGGGGCCACCCTAGAATTTATTTGCTGACTGAAGCGCTTTCCTCGATATCCAAATTGAAATTCTAACAGAATCTAATGCTGTCTTTTGGCTTTCTTCAGTAAGAAAACTGTAGGGTAAAGACATAGGAAATGCCTATCATCTATCTTCCAAAATTGTAGCACATGCCTCCCCCCCTTTTTTACACTACTCCTCTGTTGCTTCAAAGAAATAAAGCCCTCAAGAAGCCGCCTGTCTAAGGGTTCCTAGGGAAGCTGTTTATCCCGCTGTTTATGCGCAGAAGGTAAACTACGTGGCTGGTCACAGTATCCGTTCCAAACACAGAACAGTCAGTCTTTACAGCACAGCTGAAACCCTCTGTGTTTCCTTCAACCATTCAGATATTTATTTTGAAATTTATATTCTAGGAATTATCGATACATGCAAATGAATGATTTACCACAGATGCATTGGCAAAAATCCTAAAAACTGCTCCTCTCCGGCCAGCTGTGAGATTTGGCACAGAAGACAACAAAGGCAGGGGCATGACATGCCTTTATACACCAGGCTCATACCATTAGGTGATGCAACTTGTTTTCCTTTATTTTTGGAATGTAACTTTTCATTATGAGTAAACATGGCTTAGTGGAAGAAAGTAAGTAACAAAGTCCTAGACTTTACAAAGCACCCAGAAGTCTCCATAGTGACTTTCGATATGAAAAATGCTGAGGAGCCAAGCCTCACCCCACCTCAATCTAAGCCTCTACTGTCTAGTCCATTCTAACCCATGCCCAATGCTCTAGAGAATGACCTACAGGAACCTATGCAAATGCACCAGGTTTCCAAAGTGTTAAAACATTTACTAGCATCCTTGATGCTCCACCACTGTAGTTATTTGAATTGGAATATGCAATCTGAAGTATTTGGGGGAAGATTTTAAGCCTAAATTTCAAAAGATTGTCTAAATACTCCTATGAAGCTGCCTCCCCTAGCACAAATAGCAAACGCTGTCCTGATTGAAGAACGAGGCTCCCTGCGACTGGGTACACAAGCATGGACGTGCTTGCACATAGCGCTGGAATCATGCTGGGACCAGAACACATTTCCCTGAACGCTGGATTCTGCATGGTGTAAAACAACATTCACAACCAGACACACACGTAAGAAAACAATTTGTTTAGAACATCTTAGGATATAGGGCCTGCATCTCTCTGCACCCGGTGTTTATGCTCCTGTATTTTCTAGGTTGGCCTAAAAAGCCAGAAGGAAGAGCCTAGCCTGTCATCTTGGGTACCATCCAGACGGAAAACCATCTAACATTCTTGCAGCAATGTTTGATTAAAATAAAAAGTAAACTTGAAGACTCAAGGGAAATGACTTGCTTTCTGGTTTAAAAATATGCAAACATCAAAATATCAGCAGAAACCATTTTTACAGTTACTTAAACACACCTTCAATATAAAATGAATCATCCTTCCGGCATTTTTTAAGCCCCCAGAGAAATAATATTTGCATGCCAAGTAAGTGGCCAAGAAAATGCACACATATACTTAACCCGTGTCTGCAGAGAAGACAGAGAAAAGGGCTGCTATTACTGTGAACATCACAAGGGCTTCCAGTTACAGTAACTTCAGTTCACTTACTGCTCCTTAAACAGGCTTCCTGCCTTCAATACTTTGCGCACCACACGGTCAAGTCTCTCCAGGTTTTGAACCTGATCTCAATCCAACCAAAAGACAAACTAGGCAGACTTTCTTGGCCATCTACATTATTGATAACAATGGAACATTATAAATATCTTGTTAACAAAGATAGCTTTTTGTCATAGGGTCCTTTATAACAGTTGCAACGCTATTTAACACGCTGGCCACGCCTGTGAGGCTGACACCAAATTGCATGTCGAACAACTTCAGTGCTTCATCTCCATCCCGCCCACCAATTCCTATCCTTTGAAACTAATAATGTTACTCTACAGGCCAAATACTTGCATTGAGAAGAAAACTAGTTTTTCAGAAGCCAGTTTTCATTCATTCCCTACAGACATCTCCACTGCAGTGAATGTGTCCGCACGCGGGGTGCCAGTGCATGGCCCCAACTCTTTTCCGAACCGGTAGGGTGCAACGTGGGTCAACGATTCCGCACGCTTTGCCCTGGGGGCTGCAGGGAGCGACGCAACGCGACATTCACCCCCAGAAAAGAGCTGCTTTCCGTGGAGAGAGGCTGATTGTATCCCTAGCTCGGCTCCTCGCTCCCCCCGTGGCTCTCCCCGGCCCTAGCGCCGCCGAGGGGAAGCCGGGCTGCCCCTCCGGCGATGCCGGACTCCAGCTTGCAGTGGGAGGACAGCGACCGACCCCGAGATCTCCGCACCGAGAACAGCTCCCCCTCGCCCAAGTCGGAGCTCCCGGCTGTCCCGAGCATGCTCACCCCTAACGAACACACCCTCGCAGCCAAAGTAGCCCCTGAAACCGGCAGCGCCCGCAACAGGTCCGGGGCAGCCGGGGAAACTTACAGCAGTGGCGACTGGCCTCAGAGCACAACCGGCGGGGTTCTTGCCTCGGTCACGGGCAGCGAGGCGACGAAGCGGGCGTCTGAGCCCGCGGAAGCGGCGGCGATTGCTCCGGCGAAAGGAGCACGCAAGGGGCGCCTGCCCGGGAGAGGACCAGCCCGGGGCGCTGGCTGTTCGCCTCGGCCTCTCGGTCCCCACGCCGTGGACCCTGTGCCCACGACCCGCGAAGCGTCTCCCGGAGCGCGTCTCGGGAGGGGAGAGCGAGCCTGCGAGCGCCGGCGCCGCGGAAGGAGGCGGGCTGTGCACTGGGGGAGGGAGCTGGGAAGCGCCGTGCGCGCCGCGGCCGCTTGGCGTCTGGACTCGGTCTCCGCAGCGCCACCGCCGCACCGCCTCGTCTCTGGCTGCCGGAGCAGTCTGCCCCCAGCCGCCGCGCGCCCCGCTATAAGCGGCAGCTGGAGGGGAGGGGGCGCGTATGCAAAGAGACTGCCACCGGGGGAGGGAGGAAGCGCATTAGCGCGGCCCTCGGTGTAGGAGGAGGAAGGGGAGGAGGAGGAGTGGGAGGAGGAGAAGAGCTGGGGAAGAGCGTGTCGGGGGAGTTAATCGGGAGAGGAAGCGGGGGAGGGGGGCTGCGGGGAGTGCAGAGAGACAAAGCGGACGCGCTCTCTCAGCCTCTAGCAGCTGCAACCTCCGGGACTGCGACTAAATTAAGTTTTCCCGGGTCCGAGTGTTTGCACCTCTCTGGGCCACCCTGGTTAATGGATTGCCATGAAACTGAGGGACCCACGGCAGGGGAGCGCAGCCCGGGGCTGTGCGCTCCCGGATTCCAGAGCCCGCGAGATGCTCTGCACAGGGTAGCGAGGAGCTAGCTGGGTGTCCGCAGCTCGCGCCCTGGGCGCGCACAGATAGCGCGCTGGGTAGGACACCCGGCGTGGGGAGGAACAGTGGCAAGGGAAAGGGCACAAGTCTGGACACTCTGGGCACACTCAGGTTGAGCAAGCCAGGGCGTGAGGTTTCTCGCTGGCAGGGAGCCAAGCAGACTCGAGCCTCTGGCACTTCCCCAGTGTCCTCCCTCCCCACCCCCGGCGGGTGCGGCTCCCGCGGCCGGACTCTGCCCTAAGCCAAGGGACAGCAGTCCCGGCGCGGTCCGGCGGGGCGCGCACCACGTGCTTCTCAGCCAATCGCCGCGGCCGCTTGATTCAAAGCGAGCTCCTCCAAGAAGCTGCCGCGCCGGCTCCTCTCCGAAGTGATAAATCCTATATCACCCTCTCGGACCCGGCCTTCCTGGTTTTTATCGCTCGGTAGTGTCAGTTTGGAGTTCAGTAAAGACGTGCCCAGCACACACACGTGTAAAGCCCCGCATGCCAGGAGAAAAAGAGGGCGATTCGAAAAACAACCTTGCTTGGCGACCACTATTTACGAATTTCATTTTCGATCTTTGCATTAAAGCTTTGTCTTTGCACTGGGAGCTAAAGTGCCTATTTTTTATTCGGTGTTTGGAATAATAAAGTCTTCGAATGAACTGGACGGATTACCGGTCCAGCGCCCTTGGTTTACAGTGAGGAACTGGGACCCACGGAGATGTGAATTGCCCGACTGGAGGTCACTTAGCAGTGTCCCAGCCCCGAAGCTCCACAGCGAGGGCTCCACGACCGAGTAAACTGCGCCCCGCGCTTCGCCCCCCAGCTTTCTTGAAAACGCTAGGCTCGGAAATGGTTTAAACTTGCTCAGGAGGCTCCACCTGGAGCTTCCAGAGACGAGACTGCTGAAACCAAGACTGTCAGTGGTTCTTCGTTCTCATCTCACTTTGCTTTACCCACGTTCCCTGCTATTCGCGCTGAGAAATTTCGCTCCTTGCAGACAAAGAAAGACAGTGCCCTCTGAAGTCCTTTGTTAGCAATAACTCGGCAGCTTCACCACGAGCCTTTAAAAATCTGCTTCATATTTTAATTTTTTATGCAGAGTCTCTCGGCAAGACCACTTGACAAAGTCGAGAGACTGAACCACAGAGCCCAGGGCGGTCAGGTTAGGAGAGGGCAAGCAGAACCCAGGTTCTGAAGCAGACATGGATAAAACCAGCGAAAACCAAACACATGGAAACGTTAGGGTCAAAAGCAAGCGTGTTGATTTTGAAGACCAATTGTCAATGTCTTTCACGGTGGGGTAGGTGGGGGCGTTCTGTTTAAATTAAGAGATTAACATTTTTTCTCATTACTTAGGAAGTACTTCCCTCTTACTTAGTCACTTACCAACTCTACCTGGAACTGTACCTGGATGACCCTACCTAGAAACGGAATTTGCACATAGCTCAGTTGGTTGGCTGGGGATTTGCCATAGGAAGCCACTGAGCTAGAGACAGGTAATCGGTTTCTGTTGCATCTTTACCACCTGGAAACTACAGAGTGTCCTTAAGCAAGGGAATAGCAAAGTTCACGTCTCTTTGCAAAGAGCTTTGCTAAGCAGGCAGGGCTGAGAAAGGAATGAAATCCTCAGGCCATTGTGTATCATCCACTGGTGCCATTTTCCTGTATCTTTTCTACCTAATGTGCACTTCGACAAACGAAAAAAAGTTGTAGACTGGAAAATCTTGAAATATATTCAGTGACCATATACATTTGCTTCATCTGCCTCAGGGAGGTAAACAACACAAGGGAAAAGAAATTAGTTGATGTACGTTATAAAAACTGGAAACCATTTTCCTGCTGAAAGACACAGGAAGTAAACATGCATTCAGGGACAGGCATGTGCTACTGATAATCTACAAACTACACCCTGGTTTGTTTGAACCAATGTGTGAAGGTTTGGGGGCTGTTGGGCAGCTTCTAATGTTTATCTCAACTGAAAATGATTTGCAAGTCAGCATATTTATGATCATAGCAACTCAAATTGTGTAATTCCTACAGCATCTCTCAGCCCATCCTAAAGGTAGTTTTTATCACCCCACTCAGACTAAGAAAAGGTGAGCAAGTCTTATATCTGCACCAGAAAAAACCTCTGAACAGGGCTGTCATCAAACTGGACAATGATAGACACAGTAGACATCTGAGTCATGAACAATGCAAGAAATGCTACCCATACTGTATCCATATTATACAATAGCCAACACCTCATGCAAGACTCTAGACCAGTCCTGCAGGCTCCTGGGAGCTGGTCTTTGCCTTTGCCTTGTGACATCAAACCAAGGTCTCATTTTTTAATGCTATTAAGAAGCTGTGCCCAAGGCTTTGGGCTTGTTATCTCCCTTAACAATGTTATTTTGTTAGGCAGCAAAATAAGCAGCATGGGGTTAAATGTATTAGCTGCCTTCAAACCTAATTTATCTTCATTCCTTCCTAATTTACACTTGGGCTGAATTAATGAGAATGATTTAATTAACACGGTGCGATCATGGTACCAGGGACAGGACAGCTCAGGGGATTAGACCAAACAGTGGGCTAAGCAGCTGCCATCCCGCCTCCTGTGGTCTCCCTAGCCCCACCCAAATTCAGACATGTTCCCTGCTGGTATTCCAAAAGTGCCCTCTTTGTTCTTTGATCCGCTTTCTGAATCTGTATGAGAAAGATGGCATAGCTTTTCTTCCTCACGTTACTCACTAGATGGGGTTCAAGGCCATGCCCTGGAGAGTCAGTGTGGCAGAGGGGCACACTGCCCACCAAAGATTTGTGCTCCTCCTTCCGTAGTGTTAAATTCGTGTTGGGAAGTGAATGCCCAGCCAGAGACCACATCTCCTGGCCACACATAAATTGGGATCAACACCTATGGAAGGGAAGGAAGAGAAGCAGGGTGGTGGCCAGAGGAAGAAGTTGAGCTGGGATGTCGTCTCAGCCAAGCTGAGACCCCGGGGGGGGGGGGTCTCTGGAGCTGAAATGACCTTGCAGAGTTGTCCCCAGTTAAGGTAAGAAGGCCAGGCTTTTATACAGCTACATCAACCAGTTGCTGAATGCAGCCTGCCCAGGGAAGGGACCACAACTTTGGACTTTTATACTTACAGCTCTGTTTTGCAGAGATAATTCTGAAAGAGGGTTGACAGCGCCCCCAGCGGCGGGAGGAAAAAGTCCTTCATTCCGGAAGGAGGACGTGTGGGGCTCAGCTCAGCGCCCACTTCAACACTTCACCCTAACACGTAGATCACAGACCTAGGAAAATGAGACCTCAGCTTCTATCAGCAAACCTCTTATTTTAAAAAGAGGGAGGAAAAAGAAACCTGGCTATTTATTAAAGAGACAAGGATAAGGAAAAAGATAAGTAAACAATATAAGAAGTTATCAGCATTTTATAAGTCAGTTTTCATTTTTCTTTCCGAGGAAGGAAAGGGTTCTAAACTGATAGTCATTTTTCTAAATTTTAGTTTGCCATATTCTGCAATCATGCTGTTTAAAAACTTAGTGTATTTGTGTTAAGTGTCTGTTGTGATAAACCTTAAGATTATTCTTAAGATTGCATCCAAATTGATTTGGTCCTATTTTAAAAATTCATTTGCTTCCTATATCTGTTATACGTGTCACTTTATGTGTATTTTTGGAATTAAATTTGATTATAGCATGTTTTTTTATTTAGATGGGGTCTCACTATGTTGCCCAGGCTGGAGTGCCATGGATATTCATAGGTGCGATCATTGCACACTACAGCCTCAAACTCCTGGCTCAAGTGATCCTTCTGCCTCTTCCTGCAGAGTAGCTGGGACTACGGGCTCTGTATAGTAAAATTTTAATTTCAAATTCCAATTCATTACTGCTACATATGAATATAATTGACTTTTTATTATGATTTTTAATGGAAAATTTTGTGTGAAAGTGTATCTTTGTCCTTCAAGTACTAAGCTCCACTGTTCATGTTAAGCTCCTCTATTAGAGGTTGTTAGAACCGGGAAATTCATTCTTCCTTTGAGACTCCCTCACCTTACACAGCCCCAAGTGACATTTCAAGGGGTAGATAGTTTATTGGCTGCTTACAGGACTGCAGAGGGACACATTTGAGTCACTTTTCCCTAGTATTACTCTATAAAGTGTGGTCATGAGTAAATCAAGTGATCTAGGCTGTTTATGTTATTTATACTCCAGGGCCCTTCAAAACAATGATCTTCGTAGGCTGTTGTAGGTTATAGGTTTTAGGGTCAGGATTGTAAAGCAGCATTTATTATTTTCTAAAAGCAATGAATGATAGAAATTTGGAAAATACAGAAAAGCAAAAGCAAAGCTGTAACTTACCACCTGGAGATAATGACACTGAGCATTTAAGTTCCAGTCTTTCTATGTTCATGTAGTATTTTATTTTTAGCAGTTAAATGGTTAAGAGCAGAGAGTCTAGAACCGAGTTTGAAGTTTTGCTTCCACATGTATTAGCTGGGTATTTGGGGGGCAAGTGTTGCAATATTTAGGTGTCTTAGTTTCCTGATCTGCAGTATGAGATAACAACAGCACCTGGCTAGAGGGTTGTTTTGTGAATTAAATAAACCGGCACATGCAAAGTATGTAGAACAGTACCTGGCTTGTGGGAAGTGCTATATAATGCTTGCTTTTATAATGATCCCTTAGTAAACTGTTTAAAGAGAATGGTGGTCCTGCAACCCATAGATATTCCCAGGCAACTTTCCTAAATTAAGTGACTTGAATCGTTATCAAATTCCTATTTCCACATCTGCTCAGTAGCATTGGGCTAAGGGACACTTTGATGTCTCAAAGGAGTTTATGTATCTCTTAGAGTGTTTATTTGAAGCTCTGCTCTGCTTGCACATCCAGAAAGCTGACAGCTTGTGCAATAAAAGCTCAAATTCACAAGATCTGCCTTTGTCTCCTTCCCTCTCTTACTGATACTGTCTTCTTGTTTTGTACTGGGACCACTGGTCTTAAGTTGACGATGGAGAAACAATTGTTCATTCTCCATTACTTCAAAAAACTAAGCTACTGCAAAGGGAAAAGTATTTAAGAAATCACACATTTAAAAAAGAAATTGCTAGCTATATTTAGAAGGAGGCAGCCCTGCCAAAACACAGCATACATGGAATATAGGCGCCTACTTTTTCCTGCTCTGAAGAACTTGTAGGGTGTGCTTGGTAAAAGCTCACTCATATCTATCTGAATCACACCAGGCTTCTGTGGGGTGTGGCCTTGCAC